AGTTTGTAAGAACAGCTTAGATTTCAGGATTGTGGCCTTAAATAGAAATGACAGGACTTTTTCTCAAAGTTTACACAAAAGTATGCATAAACAAGCAATGTGCATCATTTGAGGGAGCATGTTGGTTGCCATTTTTTTAATGGTTGGAAATGTTTGCAGAAAGAAGCACTTCCAGGACTCTACTGGGGAAGGAGATGGAAACCCTAAAAATGAAAACTAAACAAAAAAAGGGGAATTACATTATTTCTAAATTTCCTAGCAATGTAAGATTTCCTGGCAAATGTAAGAGCCCCTAATCTTTATAGTCACCAAAAGCAACCTCAGCCAGAGTCCACTAACTGCCATTATCTTCCTAGTTTCAAGTCCCTGGGGTGTCTGAACCCCACCAGGAGACTGCTTGGAGCCAGAAATAGGGGCTGAGCCTCCAATGAGCTGAGCTGAGCTGAGCTGAGCTGAACTGTCTGCTGATCTCCCAGGCACACCCCAGCTGGAGATATTTCCCCAGTATGGTCATGCTATAAAAGTTACGATAATGAAAGCTAAACACACCAGGAAGAGTAAAGGAGTTGCATTTATTTTGTTTTTTCAATAAAGACTCTATACAAACTGTTAAGAAGGCAACTGACAACAGTTATTTGGTAGAATATAAAAGCAAGCACTGCTATAGACAAGGGAGGAACAGCTGAGTTCATCCAAAGGCGAAATTGCTTTGATAAATCTAAGTGTTATGAGTGCAGGGGAAGTGGACACTTAAGTTACACTTATCTTAAAAGTATGCTTGGAGAAATGAAACTGCAAAGAAGAAAGAAAAAGAAAAAAAATTCCTGAACCAGAAGAAGCAGTTGAAGAAGTAAAAGAAAGTGATGATTAAGAGGAAGATCCTGCTGCTGACAGGCTTCATCAGACACTAGTTTTCAGAAAGTCAGAATGGAAAAACAAAATAAACCCACTTTCGATAGTTCAAGATGCCCAAGGACAAAGGAAAGTACATATTCAGCGATGAGGAAATAACTTAGTGATTAAAATTATATTTATTCTGTAAATATCATTTTTAACATTTTTAATCATAAAACACAAACTTCAGTCGGGACTAAAGATTACTTTAGGATTTTGACTAAGCCTCAGACTAAGTATAAAAATACTTAGTATTTTTATAGTATCAAATAGTTTTTACTATAAAAAAATTCAGAATTGAAAAAATAATTTTAAAGTGTCATATTTCTTTCTTGTCTCAGCAGAGTAATAAAAAAAATCAAGATTTGCTAATCATTAATCTTGAAAACAGTTCATTTGACTAGGGAAGAAAATGCAATCATAGGAATGCAGTTGCCATCTTGAAGCAGCAATGAGAGTGTCCCTCCCTGCCTTGGAGCCATCCTTCCCCTCCCCTAAGTTTAACAAACCTTGATTTATGCCTTTAAGATCTTGCTTTTTCCTTGCATACTGAGGACAGAAGGCCTTGCTGCAAAGGAGCTTCAAAACAAAGACAAGGATGAAATCTTGCAAAAATAGCTTCAGAATTGTACACACATACACACACACACACACACACACACCATGTTTGTGTAGTGAAGACTGGTATGCTGGCCCCTAGCCCACTCCCCCTTTTCATTCCTCTGTGACTCCAGTTAAATACCCCTCCAACCCCTCCTCAACAACCCCCCACACACCCTTCCCCTCTCTGCTAGTGAGCAGGACCGTAATCTTTCAGGCTCTAGTCTAGTAGCCTCCTCATTTGTCAACAAATAAAAGAAACTGCTTCCTTTCTCCTCAAAACTCTGTTCTTCTAATGGCAAAGGGGAACTGAAATCAGAAATTACAGAATTCTGGTATCAATCTCAAGAAAATACATATTAAAATGATGTGTTTATGAAGTTCTTTATAAAAGTTTATTCACATCTAATTGGTTTATGTGAGAACTCAAAGTAAATTTCATCTTTAAAATAAAAACTTTATAAAGACTGCAAAAGTTGAATAATCTATTTTTATTAAATACTAATAAAATGTTTAAGAGAATTTTGTCTTTGAAAGAAGAGTAAACAGGGCCTCCCCGGTGGCGCAGCAGTTGAGCACTGGGTTGAGATGCTGCCCGCAGCCTCTGCAGCACCGATTCAACCCCCGGCCGCTGGGGCGAGGGTCCCACATGGCGCAGTAGGCCTTTTCTGCCGCCCGCTGCTCCCCTCAGCAGTGTACTTCATCAGTCTGCCTGTTCTGCTCTCCGCTCTGGTGAATTCTCTCACCCTCCCACGCTTCTGGCTGTACCCAGTGCTGGTATAAATAAATAAATAAATCTTTAAAAAAGAAAGAAAGAAAGAAGAGTAAATACCTGAGGTGATAGATGTGTTAATTAACTCATTGGGGAAATTGCTTCACCACAGATACGTATACAAATCATCATGATGTACGTGTTAAATATCTTAAATTTTTATTTCCAATCATACCCCAACAAAGCTGAAAAACAGTTTGTTTTTTTAATCTAAAAAATAGATTTGCAGAAAACATGAAGTTACATTTTCACAGAATATGTTTCTGACTCTTGGACTTACAAAAAAAGCAAATTTAGAGAGTCCCAAAATTTCTCTAACCCATTCCAGGCTGGTACAGTTTCCAGGAAGTTCCTTCCCATCACCTAAGTCTTCCGGGCCCCTGGGTACCATTTTTCCTCCCTTGCTGACACACCAATCCATTTTATTCTGACCAAAGAAATGCAACCAGTCACCTGCTTTTAACATCTTAGTCTATTTTAATAAAAGTTAATGCATTTAGTTATTTATTGAAGCTATTTATTGAAGCATTGCATTATAACACTGTAAATTTCAGGATCGAATCATTAAAATCAAGGTGTGTCGGGCCTCCCCTGTGGCGCAGCGGTTATGCGCCGGGTTGTGAGGCTGCCCGCTGCCTCTGCAGCGCCGGTTCGATCCCCGGCCACAGAGCGAGGGTCCCACATGGCGCGCAGACCTCTCCTGCCGCCCGCTGCTCCCCTCAGCAGTGTATCATCAGTCTGCCTGTTCTGTTCCCCGCTCTGGCTCTGGTGAAATCTCTCACCCTCCCGCGCTTCTGACTGTACCCAGTGCTTGTATAAATAAATAAATAAATAAATCTTAAAAAAAAAAAAAAATCAAGGTGTGTATATGCGACAGTAAGTTCACTACTGAAAGTCCTATCCTTCACGATACCATTGTCTCTTTTTTCCTGTTTGCCCACCCCTCTTTTCCCTTCCCTTCTGGCAGTCCAAAAGTTTTTTTTTGTTTGTTTTTTTGTTTTTATTTAGCTCATTCATCTCTTTGTTTTGTCTCTCCACATCTCACATGTGAGTGAAATCACATGGTGTTTTATTTCTCTCTCTGACATTTCATTACACATAAGATTCTCTAGGTCCATCCATGTTATAAATGGCAGGATTTCATCTTAAAGAGTTATTGTGTGTCTGTGTCTGTGTGTGTGTGTGTGTGTTGAAGTGAAGTCAATATATGTTGTTCCCATGTGTCTTGCAAGGCAGTTTGACTAACAGCCTTTCAGTCACAATAAATGAATTTTTAGTCTTTTAGGCTTTCAGGATGAACCTGTCCCAGTTCTGAAGTCTGATGATGATTCATCTAGAACCCCTCCCTGCCGCTCATCCCGGGAAATGATCTTGTAGTTGTTAACCATTAAAAACCATATCTCCAACCTCCTACTGTACAAGGCAGCAGGCTTCACCAAGGCCTCAGCCCATCAACAAAAGCAGAACCCAAATAGGCTGAAAATACCCTGTCAGCGATGGACTTCTCTCTTACTTGTGGGCTTCCAAGTTAGATTTCTCTTAATCGAGTTATAAAAAAAAAGAAAGAAAATGCCAGCATCATTGATCATGTTTCTTAATGTGTTTCCAATTCTCTTTTCTTCTCTAGATAAATCCCCCTTCTCACAACCAAATCACTGTAGCCCAGGGTACATTGTCAATTCCCTGGCACACAAAATGACAGGCAGTTGAGGGAGGTGGTTAGTAGGGATACAGCAAGGGATAACATGAGTGGCTCGAGTTGCTTGGTTCACCTGAAACCATCCTCCAAGAGGCTTTCTGTGGTAATTCCTGATTCTTCAGACCCTTCCGCTACGGTTGTGGCTACTTTGTCACGTGTTTGCCCTCCAGTCTAAGGTCAAATATTGACTTTCATTTTAACCCTTTGGTCTGTGGAAGAACAAAGTCCTTTTTTTAATGGACCCCAAATAAGCCACTTTTGTCTTCTAGTAAAAACTTTCCCCTGAAAACCATATGTCACATCAAACAGACTAACATCCTCTGCACTCTTACCCCTTACACCCAACACAGGCTTCACAAGACACCTTGTTAGGGCAACTGACACCCCAGAAGGCACTCCTGCCCTCTGCTGAAAAAAATACTAGTCTTTATGGTGTGGTCACTTTTCATCACTAGTCATTTTGGAAGGAGGTTGGGTATTGGTTTCTTTTTGTTGTTGTTTTTTTAATTTCTGGTTTTGAGGGGGAAAAAAATTGAAGGGACTTTCAGTTGCAACATCTTGGCATGGGGCTCAGCCCAGGAGAGACACTGTGGTCTGACCAACACCACCAGGAAAGCAGATGAGAGTCTGCTGGATTTCTTTTGTTTTTCTTTTTACTAAGTCGTAATATTGAATTATACACATGAGTAAGAAGAGAAAACTAATTTTCAAGTGACAAGTTGAAGCAATTTATGCCTCAAAAAGGTACAAATAAATATCTTAAAACAGTCATTCTCACTGATGTATGTGGGCTTCTTGGTGAGGTTCAGGCCTGTTTGGATTTCAAAAGCAGAATATGGTGCCTCGTGTTGATGTTGCTGCCAACTCACAGAAGTCAGCAAATCTCGAGTGGGAGAGAAGAGAAAGCTGAATTCCCTGTTTTTGTGATAATTAAGTATTAGTTGCTAGACGCCTGACCTTCCATAACACAAGAGCCCTTTCTGTGGTACTGAAGTTTTGATGCAGAAAAACCCAGTCAAAATAACCAGAACAGGTTTATAAACATGTTTTATTGTAAGTTAGTGGTAGACACATTCAGAATAATAAAGTAAATGGAACTTTGAACAGATAAAGGGATAACCAAAAAAATCAAGGATATGCCCAATAATAAATTTCAGAGTCAAGACTGTAACACCAGGCAAACATCAGGAAAGGGAATCCCCAAAGAAATAGTGCAAAACAGAAGGGCCCTTCCCATGTGTTACTCTCCATACTGGGTCTTCAGAGGAGGAACCCCATGGGTTAAGGCCACATTGAATCACCAACATAATGTCACCATCTAACACTACCTCAGCCAGGTAGCCCAAGAATCAAGTTCTATTGAAATCATATTCCCATGTCCTCTTTCAGTCCTGGTGGAAAAAATAGAAATATTGTGAGGAACGAAAAGCAATAGATTGGCCATCGCCTTTGGAGAGGTTGGTGGTACCTGTATAGATTAGTCTTCACTGGGGTTACTATTTTCCTGCATAGTCTTCCTTATCCAATCAATATAGTTCTTCACACGTGTGTAGAGCCCATAAGTCCCACACTCGGGGCCCCAGGACACCAGACCAGCTACATAGAATTTGGGGTCCTCTGTTTTGGGATCCTGTAGAGCAAAGGCACCACCACTGTCCCCTTGACAGCTGTCAACACCCTGCTCTCCTCCAGCACAGATCATGTTCTCAGTGAAAACGTAGCTCTTTGTATCCCTCTTCGGGTCACTGATCTTCACCTCCTGGCACTTTGATAAGGGAGCTATGGGTAACTTTGCCCCCATGAGTCGATAAACATGATCTCTATCCTTTGTTCGGCCCCAGCCTGAGATCAGTCCAAGCTCTCCCACTGAGGCGTCATAATCTGAGGAAGGGCCTGGTAAGCAGATAGGGGAGACCTTGGGTCCCATTTTCACTGGGTCTTTCAATCGTATCAGTGCAATGTCATTGTCAAAATTCTTCCGTATTTCCTCAGAACTCTTGACTTTCCAGCCCGGATGAATAATCACACGCTCAGCCATGAGCATCTGGGCGTTTTCCAGATCTTTAAGAACCACTGAGGTGGACCCAGCATACATTGTTGGTTCATGGTTTCCCTCCACCACATGGGCAGCTGTCAGCACCCAGGACTCATCAATGAGAGCCCCACCACCCTTCGGGTTTTTGAAAAAGACTTGCCAGGGAAAACTTTCAATTGTTGTCCGGGACCCTCCAAATATCCTCTGTGTTCCAACAAAGGGCTTACTGGGGACACCACAGACTAGGAAGGAACAAGAACAAGGTGGGGGGACAGGAAATAGATTAGTGGCCTCCTACAAACCACTCAAAAGCTGCTGGGCCTCTGAGTTCTCTAGCACAATATAGTCAACCTTTCATTTGGTCACCCTTCTCAGTACCTGACTCACTCTGAGTGAGTAAAGACCAAACTTGCCGCTGGGATAATGCCACAAGGAGGCTCATGGGAGAAGCCGGTTACACCGAGACATTGTGTATGGGTTGCTGAGTCAAAGGAGCCAGACCCTTACGCTGTGGACATCTTCACTACAGCCCCTCTAGATAGAGGCACCTCGGGCCCAGGCTCAGTGCTTGGGGCCAGCGGACCCACTGGGAGCCATTACTGGAGAACTCCTTTCTCCTACAGATGGGGGAGGCAAGCATTCCACCTGCCTTATCACCTTGCTCACTGATGTCCTGATGCTGCAGAGTTCCCCCAAGTAATTCTCAAGCCGGTTAAAGAAGTCACGGCCAAGGGAGGGTTCTCTCCTCTCATCTTTTATCTCGTCCCGTGGACTGGCTCCAGGGTTGATTGCTTTGCGAATATGCAGTATAACCAAAACTGAATTTGATCTAGGTTGGCCTACCTAAACCCCTCACTGGTCGGCCTGAATGGACGGTGAGTCAAGCACATTAGATTTTGCTCTCCAACAGACCTGGGTTCAAAGCCTACCCCTGACCTTTACTGCCTGCGAGCTTGTGCTCAATTACTCATCTATAAAATGGAACTAGTAATACCTCCCTCGTGGCGTTGTTGCAAGGACTCAAATGAGATAATAAATTCAATTCATTAGCTCAGTTCCTAGTTCTCAATAATGCTGTTAGTAACCAGGATTGGATTGTTATTACAATTCTGATTTCACCTGAGAGCTACTTCTGTGCAACTCTGATCTGCCTGCAACCTCCCATTTGTTTTATTCTTTTATTTTTTTATATTCTTGCCACACAGACTTTTATAATAACTAGGCTATTCATTTGTCTTGCTTTCTGAGTGTTGCCTCCTCATTTTCAACTTCTGGGGCCTGTGTCAGCCATTCCATCTCCATTAGCTAACCCAACTGGCTCTCCCATTTCCTGTCAGTTGGCTTGACTCAAGAGGATGAGGATTTTCCCCAGGGCCCTGGCAAGTCCATGACCGCAGCATTGTCTCTAGTTCACAGATTGTTTGCCCAAGAAGACTGCAGCCCTTTTCAGAAGGTGGTCCCACTCCCCTGCAGCTGTGGCTATGGTGTCCCCCCAGGCCTAAGCCCTGGTTACCTGGAACACATCGTGGCAGCTCTACTCCCAGCACCTCGTTCACCCAGCTCCCGTTGTTAGAGCAGCGGTACTCCCCTGCAACAGCACAAGGACACAGGACAGAGTCACCACCACATTGTTGCTCTTCCATCCCCCTTTCACTCAGATTTGAAGAGGGGATCAACTAGGGATCATCCTAGATGAAATCAACTAGGATTTTGATAACCTCCTCCAAACAATCCCTCTGGCTTTCTATCCTGTCCAGGGAGGGGAAGTGAAAGTTTCCAAAGCAGAAGAAAGAGGGTGAAGGTAGAGACTGGGAAAGCACTTCAAGTGGGAAAATAAATTAATTTAATTTGAGAACAATGAAATAGGACATGCTGTGTTTCATCTGGTCCTGCATCTAGTACTACTAAGGCCTCTCCATCAAGAAAGTCAGTCATCCAAATATGGTGACTTGCAGGCCTCCCGGGTGGCGCAAGGGGTTAAGCACCACACTATGAAGCAATCCGCAGCTTCTGCAACACGAGTTCAATCCCTGGCCAGGAAGCCACCCATATGGTGCAGCAGACCTCTCCTGACTCACCCGCGGCTCCCGTCAGCAGTGTATTTCAGTCAATCTGTCTGTTCTTTTCCCCACTCTGTCTCTGGTGAATCCTTTCACCCCCCACATCTCTGGCCTGTACCCAGCTCTTGTATGCATAAATAAATAAATCTTTAAAAAAAATATGGTGACTTGAGGCAGGAATCATTATCCCTGCAAGTCTACATTAACTAATTGGTCAAAAGCTGGATGGTCACATGAAATGGAAATTGTAGAGGGAATTCCTGCCATAGTTGTGGAGCTGATTTAGCTAACCTCAGTGATTCCCTATGGATGATCGTATAGAATCTATCCTGTGCTGAAATTTGTATCTCTAGACTAAGCCAAGAAGACGTACATAGTTGATTCCATCTCCTTCATTTCTCTCCAAATTCTCTCCAACACAAAAAGATAGTTCTGCTCATTCTCCAACATGCTCTCCTGCTCTTCTTGCTTTTCTCTAGTAAAGAAACCTACCACCGTCTTCATTTTCCATGTAGTAATATGGCTCCGAGCAGGTGTAGTGAATGACAGAACCAAATAAAGTATGTTCTGGATTTTCAACATGACCGTTTTCAATGGGATCAGGTAAGCCACAGTCCACAGCTACATGGGGAAGATGAGAGAAAGGTGGTTAGGACAGCCAATTCTTCCCAGAATTACTGGGCCAGTTCCACCCTCCAGTCACGTTCCTCACCCTGTCTCCTTCCCCACATCCCTAAGTGTACCTGGGGTGAATCTCCCCATGCTAGCCTCTCTGTGGCCTGCTCTTCAACTGGCAGCCCACTAAGTCCCACTAAGTCTTGCCAATTCAGAGAGGCCCTTGAGAGGCTCAGGAAGTACCTGGTTCTCAGCGGTTAGTGTCAGCCCCTGCAGAAACCAGGAGTGAACCCATAAGGTACTATGTACCCTACAAAATTCACAGCCCCTTTCTTTGGAAGAAACCTGCTATTCTGGCTGGGCTGAAATCAGATCAGGGCTGGGACTCCATGACCCGGCTTCCCTTCAAAACCCAAACTCACTTTCTCACCAGCCTAAGAGAAAACCAGGCATTTAAGTCTTAAATATGCTGATCTTTCAATTCCCTTTAGGAGGAAAAACAGGAATCCCATTTTAAATAGATACATACGTTGACATTTCAGTTTGGAATTACTCCACTTTCCATTGCTTTGGCAAGTAGAATAGAAGGATGTCATGCCAACACTTCCCTGGAGAATAATAGACATCTTATTAATTTATAAAGAGAGATACGGGAAACCCAAGTTAAAAATAAAATTGATCTCCAGTCTTGGATTAATGAGCCCTCACCACTAGAAGTTTGGGGACATTTTAGCAGAATGATCTAAATCACCCAGGAGCTGGGGCTAAATGACAACTTCACCCCGATGTGTCAGATCCCCTTCCCCAAAAAGACTAAAAACAAAAAGAACAGTCATTGTGGCACAGGGGTTAAAGTCTCAGTGCTATCAAACTGTCACCAGCCACTGCCCTGCTGCATGAGTTCAATCCCGGGCCAGGGAGCTGACCCACATGGCAATCTCCTGTTTTGTCTGCTGCTCCCCTCAGCAGGGTATTTCAATAGATCCACCTGTTCTGTTCCCCTCTCTGTCTCTGGTGAATCTCCCACACACACCTCACCCCCCCCCCAATACACCTCTCGCCTGTTCTTGTATAAATAAATAAATAAATAAATAAATAAATAAATAAATAAATAAATAAATGCAAGCCAATTTGGCCAAGGAGCTACATGATTCATAAAAAAGGACTAAGGACATTGAGCTGTTCTGTTTATGGAAACAGTGTTTTATCTTACTCAAACAAGAAATCTGGTAAGTGATTGGACAACTCCAGTTAGCTCTTACTGGCCTAGGATTACAAGAAAACCCAACAGTATTTTACCTCTACAACTTCAAACCCATCCAGACAGGTTATCTTCACTACATCTTTGAACACATACTTTTCTTTTTCTGGCTGCCAAGCAGAATTGGCATTGACTTCCTTAGGACAAGGAATTGCTGGAAAGGACAGAAAATTTTTTTACCAAATAGCTGGAGAACCTCTATTTTATAAACATCAATCTCACACTTTCTAAAAATATTCAGTCATCCAATATGAAGATGTTTAAAATAAAATGGCAAGCCTCCCTGGTGGCACAGTGGTTAAAGACAGCACTATCAAGCTATCACCAGCCACTGCAGCAAGAGTTCCAATACCCAGCTGGCCAGGGAGCAACCCACATGGCACAGCAGACCTCTCCTGCCTCGCCCGCTGCTCCTTTCAGTAATGTATTTCAGTAGATCTGCCTGTTTTGTTCCCCACTCTCTCTGGCGAATCCTCTCACACTCCACACTTTTGGCTTACACCCCAATTCTTGTATGCATAAATAAATCTTGAAAAAATAAATGAATAAATAAAATAAAATGGCATTGCCAACAAATGACTCTCAAGTTGTCTGCACTCACAGGCCCAGTTAAAGAATTCTTAGAGACTGAGGCATTTCTAGCAACTGCTGACAGGTTCATATCTTGCTGAGGAAGTGGGGTATCTCAGGATACCTATCCATACTACAGTCTACCCTCCCCAACAAAAGAGCAACTTCTAGGTTACTCACGATCTCCATAGTAACGAAGTTTCCAGCCCTTTTTTTGCCCTTTTTTGTCAGTTTGGAAGATGATTTTGACAGCATTACTGTTGGTTTCAATTTTTAGTGGTCCAGGGAATCTATTACCACAGTAAGGACCAAATTGTTGGTTTCCTGTAACAAACTGGAAAAAAAAAATGATAAAATTGGAAGAGAAAAAAATAAATCAATGAGGCAAAATGGAGGGGGAAAGTAAGCGAGGCAACAAAATTAATATAAAATAAGGAGGAACAAAAAAATGGACATAAAGATAATTTGTGTTCAAAGAGAAATCTTTCTGTGTGAGTTGGAAGGAAAATTAATCAATCTTCACGCACAAGTAAACTGTCAGGGCAGCGGCCCACTGAATCAGCAGGTTCCACATCAAAGTCTTCTCTCCGCACAGTCAACACCACTCGGAACCCTTCCTCCAACAGGATCTGATAATCACACCTTGAGTTCTCTGGGTATGTATTGGGGTAATTGGGACTTGTGATCTCCCCAGTCATTTCAGTGAATACATCCCCGCTGCAATTGACTAAGGAAGAAAAAGGAAAAAGGGGAATCAAATATAAGATCAAGCAAAGGAGTTTCCACCCTATCCTATGATTCCTCCTATGATCAGACACTCCTTGACAGGAGCCACATGCAAGGATCACACACTCACTTTACAATCAGTCGAGGAAGCCAAGGCCTGTGGGGTCTCCATCACATTGCTTATGAAAGAACTTTTCATGGTTATGAACAGCCCCAGGCAGACTTTTCACAGACATCTGTCCCTCTTGTCCATTAATTAACTTAATTCTGTAACCTCATCTTCCTCTACCCTGTGGATCCCTCAGCTTATGGGTACTAAGAATAGACGCCAAATCAAATCTGAGGCTAATCATTTGGAAGGGTAGACAATAGCCTAACTGAAGCCTCAAGTCATTCCAACTCCCCAGGAATATTCACCCCATTGATGCCAAGCTCACCTCCACAATTCTTCATATCATCATGGAGAAAGTATTCTGGGGGGCAGGAGCAGAAGAAACCACCAATGAAGTTATTGCAGAAGTGGCTACAAGGGACATCTGCAAAGTCTGTGCACTCATTTATATCTACAAAGAACAGGGAGAGATGGAGGTCAAGGACAAGGACAAAGACCTAAAGGAAGAATGAGGTTAAATCTAAAAGCTACCAGGCAAGAAACCATAGGAAAGTTATGTTATTTAAAAACCTTCAATGAATTATCTTTCAGGATGGTATTATTCTATATTATACTCCTGAAATATAATTACAGGGTTATGCCTTGTCATTGCACAACAATAAGGGGGTTCTCAATGCCAAAGACCCTTGACCTTTTTCACATACAGAGCATTTCGGCTCAAGAGACAACACTCAGCAAGCTAAATATGACAGGTCTTCTGCAGGGAGGACAATTAGTATATTTATTGTTTTATGTAATGTTGGCACTTTCGCCACATCTAAGCAATAATTTAGGTTTATGAGATGTTCTAGCTTCATTTTCACCTGGAGATAAGGTGTAGAAACACAGAATCTAAAGGTCTGTTTGCCGTCTACTGAATGGATTTGAATACCATACAATCCTTGTATGGGACTTATGATCTCCCCAATCACAAGTTATTTAACTTTCCTAGCCCTCACTTTCCTTATCTTTATGTGGAAATAATACTACCTACCTTGAGAGCTGAGGTGAAGACTATGTGAACATAGGTAAAATTCCTAATGCAGTGCCCAGTACATAGAGGTTCTCAATACAGTACTCTATTATTTTATATATAGCCATTATCATTATCATACTAAGATACAATCATGCGTTTGAAAGCCACAAAGGCATTCATGGAGGGACCCAAGCCAAGTCAGAACTTCATCACAAACAGAATCCTTGGTCACTGCATTCCTCAGTGTTCATCCCACACCCAACATTTTAGTTAGGCCACTCAGCGCATAGAGAAGAGAGAGTCTTACCTACTGCCACATAGTATGCAGCAAACCCAGTGAAACGCTCTTCATTGGAGAAGTCCGACTTAAAGATCACCTGGAGTTTGTTGGACAGGATTTGGAACTCTTCCACAATTGGGGAGTTGGGATTCTTGCTGGTCCTCTGTCCACAGAGGTTCCCTTCTACAATGCCTTCCGACTTTATCTAAGGGAAGAGTCAAAAAGAAACTAGGCAAAGGGTCCTAGTTTGGTATGGAGGTCAGAGAAAATAAAACATTTACCACTTAAGGACCATTTGATTCCAGTTCACTGTGTGCACATGGCACTGGCACCAATGTCCTTCTCATCCCACCACCCAGCCCTGGTCATCCATCCATCTCCTCTGGGGGCTTATTAGAAGGTACCTGCACCGAGTCATATGCGCAGTCCTCAGACAGCTCTATGTCCAGGTGGGTGAAGTAGAGATGGATCCCGTACCCTTCTGGAACTTCTATATCCCAAGTTTTCTCTACCTCATTGGGGTATGCCTGAGGATAGTTGGGAGACAGGATCTTCCCATGCATGGGGAAATCAGCATAAGACTGTGCCAACAGGGATAACAGGACAACACACCTGGAAAAAAGGGCAAGTGAAGAGGTAAGTGGCCCAACACCAGCAGGCGAGGGCAGAGCTCTGGCATTTGCCACCAGCAGAAGGGAGGGGGACGGAGGAAGCAGAAGGGCAGGCCCAGCAGGTGGAGGAGAATCTTAGGTCAGAACAACCCAAAACCAGTCTCAGATGTGAGCCATTTTCTCGAGAAAGTGGAGGGGGTGGAGCTCGTGCCCATCTCAGCAGACTTGGTCACTCACCACATCTCTGGCAATCTGTCCATCCCTGGCATGCAATGCGTCTCTTGGTCCTGGCTCTCTGCACCTCTGGACTTTGGAGCTAAGCTTGTCTAACAAACATAGGCACCTGTTTTGCTGGGAAGGGGTCACCCGGGGCTCAGTGTCACCTTCATAAGAATAGTACAAGTTAAACAGAGCCACGCAATGAATCATCAGCCCTGACACCTCTCCTCTCCCACCCACCCTGTTTCTATTGCAATTAATTTTGTAGACTAAAGTGAAATCCTATCTCCCATTGCTTCCCTGGACCCTCTCCCCGATGTTTTTCTTCCTTCCCTCACCCCCACCATGCCCCCATCCCCACCCTATCAGTCTGTCTCCTGCCCTCACCCAATTGCATCCCCATTTCTGCTCACCCTATGGTGACTGTCCCTTTAGGACATTTCTCCTTCTTTTTTAGACAATGGCCCCCTTTATCATGTCAAACCTGCTCCCTTTACTATCACTGCATGTACTTCCATTGACACTCCTGAAGAACAGTGATAGAGGAACGAGCTTGTTGCACTAGGGAAATGCAGTGACCTGGGGAGAAGAGGTCTGAGACAGGATGGAGTGGAGAAGGATAAAAAGGGGCAGCTGAATGGCAAGAAACCTCAAAGGAAAGGAAAGGTAGGCCCTCAATTACCTACATTAATACAAAATTCCCAATTTTGTATGAATTAATTCCCAATTACTTAAAAGATAAGATCTCTTCCCAAAGTTCCTTGAAAAGTCTTGCCAGATATGCTTCTAACCCTGAAAGCAGTGGGAGGTAATAGGGTGCGTGGAGGTGGACAGGGCACCCTAAGAGAAATGGGTTGTCTGCAGTCGATCTTCTCTGTGGTCTGCTCTTGCAGCCCCTTCATCTTTGCCCAAAACCTGGCTGTGTGGAGTTTTCTGCCTCCATCAAAGCTCTGCTCTTTGTATTTAAGTTTTTTACCTTCAGCAGCTGATGGGAACAAGTGGGTCAGTCCCCTCTGTTCTGCCAACGGGCATGCTGGGTGACCCTGGTGCCTCCCAGGGAGAACAGCACAGGGCCTGGACGCTCCCTCTGCAGGAACCTCCGGCGGCCTCCCTGCCTTGTTTCTGCTCATCTGATTCTCTACCCCAGGGTGCCGGTCTGAAATTCCCTGATCTAAACAAAGAGGGGGGCTGGGAGACCATGACAGGGTAATCAGCCTTGATCTTGGAGCTCCCCCTGCTTTTGAAACAAGAATTGCTTGCTTCTCTCAGGCCTGGGATTCCTCCATCAACGACAATGCCGGGCAAAAGGAGAAATGAGGAATTTCACAGATTGCTTAATGCTCTTTTCCAGCCAAGGGGTGTGTTCCAGTTTTCAGAGAAGTCAGGTGATTTGTGGGAAAAGGAGGGGATTAGTACTGTGGGAGAAAGCCAAACCCAGAAAGTTCAACCCTCCAGCCGAATGAATCATGGAGGAAGGCAGGTCATCTCTGCGCTAAAAGCAAATGTCAAGGTCAAGTAGTGACTTAGACCTATACCGAAGCTTTTTCCTCATCCTAAAATCCCTTCCACTTCTCCAAATATCTCAATTTTTGCCACCCATCAAGCCCTGTTTAGATACAACCCAGAGTCCCTTATCCATAAGCCTTACAGCCAGATATGTTCAAAATTCATTTTACAGACTTAGAAAAGATACAGCGAATACATGGACCCAATTTGTAAGTAACACCACCTCCTCTCCGGCCCCCTCGAGGGGCTGGGCTAACACTCCATTAGCAAACATTAACGTTTCTGCAGCTAAACATTGATTTTCACCATAAGTAGAACAACTAAAATAATAATTGAGCTACATATTCTATTTATGAATGACTCAGTTATAATTATACATTACTTCATATCAGTTCAGGTCAGGTTTTGCAGTTGAGTTTTGGCAGCGAACTTGAAAAAAAAAAAACTCTCTTCTCAGAGCCTTTTGGGAATTTTGAATTGTAGACAAGGGACCAGGACAGGGGGCCTATACAAATCCAGAAAGTCTTCCCCGATCTCCAGCTCTCCTTAAGGCTCCCTTATTTTGAAAAGGCTCCCTTAGTTTACGTATAACTAGGACTTTAGAAAGCTGCTAATTAAACTAGGATATGCCATTGATTGTAAGATGCATGGAGTGCTAACATGTGGGGATATTAGGGGGAAAGGATGTCCTGAGCTAATCCCCTGCAGGCTTTGTGGACTCCACCCCCACTCCAGACCAAAGCCATCAAGACATTGGGAAAGACAAATCCCGTCACCACCAAAGGGAAGGTGGCTGGGACCTGAGGGTGGAGTTAAGCAGCCAGGGTTGGTTGGGCGGGCTTGCTCTCTCCCTCGCCTCCTGGCTTCATGGCTCCTGGCTCACAGCCAGCTCTCAGAGTGCCATTTGGGACTCCAGATCGGCGGATCGGGTAGGACGCATTTAAAACTTTGTCTCCCACTTTTCTCCCTGAGTTGTACATTTCCTTATTTCCCCTTCCCTTGTAAATAAACCTTTTATTAACCTTTCATGTGTGCCTGCAGTAGAGTATCGATAAGTCCTTTTAAGCGCACGGGTGAGGACCCACAGTCAGGCACCCCGTTTGGTATCGGGGCTGCCCTATAACAGTTAGAAACCAAGCACGCTGGAATCCATGAGGTTTGATAGTTGTGCACATGTCTCACCTCTGATTTGCTCAGTACTCAGTCTGGAGTCAGAAGTCCCAAGTCCTAGCTCAGTAACTCAGCAGTGACCCCTATGGGCACATCACCCAAACTTCTTCAAGTATAAAGAGAGATAATATCAGTTGTGCATGTTTTACATGGCTCTAGGGAAGACCTAATGAAATAATGAGAAAGAGCTTTGCAAACTATGGTGACAAATAAATGCACAAGTTAAAAGGAACACAGTCATGCACCTTAGGGTCTCTAAAGATGGCTTCTGGGTCTGACTCATCCTTGTATTCTCCACCATGTATTTCAGTGTCATTCACACAGTACAGCTACCCATGTACATATGTACGTATGACCATTACAGATATTGGAACATTTGGACACATTTGGGGAAGTTCCTTGACATGCGAGTTTGGGAACAGAGGCCGCCTCCCAGGAGAGAAGATGCAGCTGCAGGAAGTGTGGCCCCCACCTCTCCAGCAGCTCTGGAGCTGGCCCACATATTCCTCAGAAGCATCTGCCTGTGTTTTAAATCCAGAGAAGTGATGTCAAGAAGCAAGGGCCATGAAACCTCCCAGCAGAGTGTGGCTGCAGAAGATTGGAAGAGGAAACGTGACACCTCAGATGCTGTTAGGATTGTCAGTGCTGTGTAGGCCATGATTAAATAATATGATGTATGCTAAGCATTCAGCATATATCTGGCACTCAGAAACCCCTTACTAAATTAACAGCAATTACAACATACATGCATATAAATCAGAACTGGACATTTCAGAAAATAATTACTGGTGTTGCGCAGAATCATAACTATTATACTCATCATGTGACGGTCTCTATGGGAGATGAATGGTGACATCTCTCTTCCTGTTTCAAGTTCTAGAGAAACTGAAAATGAAACAAAAGCAGCAAATGGGGGTCAAACTATCTTTAATAGCAATAGAGGCCAAGATAGAGACCACCCAGTGGAAAAACCAAGCGGTGGCTACCTGAACCCCACAATTGCCCTTCTAGATACAAGCAATGCCAGGCTAGGGCATACGCCCCAAAGAGAGTATATGCTCAGGGTAGATTGCTCACTCCAAGAGGAAGTGGGACCATCTTTTTGGGTTTGAAACATTACTCCAACTTCCCAGAGCAAAGTGAGGCATGGAATGGAAAACACGGCCAAAAGAATCATGTCATAGATTTCTCTCCATCAAGAAAGATCTACCAGGAGTAGTAGAAACATCCCGCCCCCAACTTTCCCAAGGTTTTTCCCTCTTTAACCTGTTAGACTTGCCCATTGAGTTTATGAGCAGCCTGGGATGTTATTGTCTACTGGAAAGAAGACAACAAGAATCTGGTCAGGGCAGTCCATTCACACAATGTCAACCACCACTTCTGGACACTTTGTGTCCTCCGGCACCACCAGCCCCATAAGCCTCCAAGATGAGTCTGAATAATACATTACCATTAAATATATCCTGCACCCAAGCCTGGAAAGTCACTTCCCATTCCAATCCCTGTCTCACCCAGCCATGTTACCCAGCATTGCTCTAGGAGTGCTGCAGTGAGATTAAGTGATGGTTTAAGAAATCATAATTTGCCATGTGTTAGTGAGGATCCTGTTGGTATTTTATCATGACTCATGATCATTATTAGTTTGAATACAATTTTGTGCAGTTTATTCATTCAACAAACAGAACCCTAGGACTGCATCAGAGAGCTACATCAGAGACAGATCCATGTTTTTAAAGGGGTTCAAGTTAAAGGTGATATTTTTGTATTTGATTCCCCAAAAAATGTTAATAACAACAATAAAAATAATCATAATGACAAAATGTCCATAATAAAGAGGTGTTGCTAATTTGAACAATTAAAAAAATTATCAAACTCCAAAACTGAAGTTCAAATTTCATGGCAAATTAAATTCCAAAGACATTACACATAAAAGATAAAGTCCAAAGTTTTTAAGTTAAAGCCACATAACCATCAATCCTAATTTGTAGTGGGACCAGTCTTAGTTACAGTGTTTCCAAAGTCTGAGCAGAGATGTAGTTCTTTCCCAGTCACAGACTGGGTTGGAAGGAATTTGTTCTTGCAAAACTAAGACAGTACTTCATTGGAGGCAAACCTTCCCTGCACTCAGTGTTGAAAAGTCCACAGTTCAGAAGACACAAGAAAACTGCAATGCCACAACCACAAATTTTAGAGGAGAAGCTGTCCCTATATCTTAAATCAAAAACCTGGGGAAAATTACAATTTTATTTCCAAAACCCAGTACTTATGCCAAAGAGTGAAGAATAACTTTAACTGTATGAGTTTAGTAGAAAAATCTTCATTTTTTTTTTGTAAAGCTGTATTTATGCATACAAGAACTGGGGTATAGGCCAGAAGTTTGGGGTGTGAGAGGATTCACCAGAGACAGAGTGGGGAACAGAACAGGTGTGACAGGAAAGGTCTGCTGTGCCATGCAGGTAGCTCCCTGGCCAGGGATTGAATTCATGCTACAGAGGCTGCAGATAGCTTCATAGTCTGCGTCTTAACCCCTTGTGCCATCAGGGAGGCCCAGAAAAATCTTCATTTTTGACCTCCCCTTGATTCTAGTCAGTTTATGCCAACTGTTCAGAATCCATATCTTGTGAACTTGGCCCAACTTGAAGAAATCATCTAAAAAACGGTCATTCTGTACTGAACATATGCTGAATTCTTTCATTTCTGCTTCCCCCAGTGAGCCCCAAGTGTCTGGCACCCAGCACTACCTTGGTAGGTGAGCTCTATCAAGAGCCCATCCTATACAATGAAAAGAGGGCAGATGTCTTCAATCCTGTTTCAGTGGCTACCCCCCAACCCCAGTGGATTTTTAATGCAGCAACTGAGACCTTCTCCCCATGTTTGTTCAGCTGGAAAAAGCACCCCCAGTAGATTCTTGAACTGAAATTGCAACTGAATGCCCTGCAGACTGGCACCTAGATAAAGATCACTCCCTCTGCCAAGTGTCCAGTTTTTCTTACACTTTTAAATTCAAATTTAAACAAATTTGGGTAAGACAAATTTGGGTAAAAACAAATTAGGGTAACTTCCAGGCAAAGACAATGCCAGCAAGCCTCCCTACAATAAGTTTGTCACCTTGAAACCCACTCTGTAATTACTTGAGAATTTTCCACTCTCAAGCCTGTAAATAAGTCACTTGAATTCAAGGTCATACTTTCAAGTCTCCTTTTTAGTCCAAAACATAGAATGGAATTTGCCAGTGTTGCACTCACAAATTAAAGCTAAAACTTCCCTTGGCTCTGTGGCCCATGCAGAACTCCACTTCTTATGAGGAAACATCAGAGCAAGCAGGAGAAGCCCACCCCTACAACATACAGGATCGCTGGGTAATTATTGAGTCATCCTAGATCTAAGCTACAGCTACGTATAACTTGCTAAATTACCATTTCGTCTATTGTTCAGTAAAACTAAACAGTGAAGTCTACTGATGTATTTATGATAAAGAAAGATAATAAGAAAAAATTGTAACTATAGCAGAAGAAATAAAGTGAAAGTGGGCAGGAGGGAATAAATAAAAGGAAAAGTAGAGAAGGGGTAACTTCTACGATCTGAATATATTTGTCCCCCCCAAAATACACCTCCCTGCTTAGGT